GTAGAAGGACGCTTGAAGAGACAACCCACAGAATGGGAGAAAATATTTGCAAATGATCCATGTGACAAAGGATTAATAACCAGAAAATACAAGGAGTTCAAAGAACTCTACAGGAAAAAGTCTAAAAATCCCATTAAAAAGTTCTAGTAGGCCAGGCACAGTGGCTCATCCCTGTGATCCCAGCACTTTGGGAGGCCAATCCCAAAAGTCTAGCTAATTTTTCTATTTTTAGTAGTGATGGGTTTCACCATGTTGGCCAGGCTACTCTTGAACTCTTGACCTCAAGTGATCCACCTGCCTTGGCCTCCCAAAGTGCTGGGATTACAGGCGTGAGCCTCTGTGCCCAGTCGATACTTCCATATAATTCTAACAAGACATGTGTCTTAGTCTGTTATACAAAACACCATAAACTGAGTAATTTATAAACAACAGAAATTTATTGCCACAGTTCTGGAGGCTGGGAATTCCAAGAACAAGATGGCAGCAGATTCAGCATCAGGTGAGAGCTTTCTCTTTGCTTTAAAGATGGTGCCTCCTTGCTGCATCCTCACATGGTGGAAGGGGCAAGGTTGTTTCCTTCAACCTCTTTCGTAAGGGCACTAATCCCATTCATGAGGTTGGAGGCCTCAGGACTTAATCACTTCCCAAAGGTCCCACCTCTTAATACTATCACAGTGGGTATTAGATTCTAACATTGGAATTCTGGGGGACACCGACATATGGAACATAGCAATATGTGTAGTATTTGTATGCTGAAAACTATGCAATATTGTTGAACAAGATCAAAGAAGACCTACCTAAATGAGAAGATATACCATCTTCTCTGATTGGAAGACTCCACATGGTAAAGATACCGGTTCTCCTCAAACTAACATACAGGTTTAACCCGATTCCTACCAAAATCCCAGCAAGATTTTTGTGTATATACAGCAAAAATTATTCTAAAATTTATATGAAAAGGCAAAGGAACTAGAATGGTTAAAACAGTTTTGAATAAGAATAAAGTGACAGAAATCAGTCTACCCAATATCAAGACATTATATAGCTGCATATCACAACTACCTGGTACTGGAGGAGGGAGAGACACAAAGATCAATGGAAGAGAGTAGAAAACTCAGAAATGGAACTATACACTGATTTTTGAGAAAATAACAGAAGTAATTCAATAAAGATAGCTTTTTCAACAAATGGTGTTGGAACATCTATAGGCATTGGACGTCTATAGGCAAGAAAATGAACCCTGACCTAAGGATCATACCTTATATAAAAGTTAACTCAAAATGGACCGTGAACTTATATATAATATATAAAACTTTTAGAAAATAACATTCCAAGAAAATCTTTAGGATCAAGCGCTAGGCAAAGAGTTCTTAAGGGTTGACACCAGGCCGGGTGCGGTGGCTCACGCTTGTAATCCCAGCACTTTGGGAGGCCGAGGTGGGTGGATCATGAGGTCAGGAGTTTGAGACCAGCCTGGGCAACACAGTGAAACTCTGTCTCTACTAAAAATACAAAAATTGGCTGGCCATGGTGGCAGGTGCCTGTCATCCCAGCTACTTGGGAGGCTGAGGCAGGAGAGAATCGCTTGAACCCAGGAGGCAGAGGTTGCAATGAGCCGAGATTGTGCCACTGCATGCTGGCCTGGGTGACAGAGCTAGACAATCTAAAAAAAAAAAAAATTTCTGG